ACACACACACACACACACACACACACACACACACACACACACACACAGAGTCCCGTCTCATCTCCATCAAGAAAAGAAAAGATTAAGTCAAGCTGCTGACGGTTCAATCTCTACTTCCTCTTTTGCTCTTCATCGCACTGGTTCTCTCTCACCCTCACATGGCATTTTCTCTTCTTCCACTTCTTCCCATTCTTCTCTTTTTCCTCTCTCTCTCTCTCAGAGATTATCCCGGTCTATTCAGTAGGGAGATTCCAGCTGCCACGGCGCTCCTTAAAGAAGCCGACTAAACCCCGAACGTCAACAAGCCCCATTAACACACACACACACACACACACACACACACACACACACACACACACACCATTTTCTCTGTGAGACACAGCGAATATTGTGAACGAGACTTATTTTAACATAGTGTGGGGTGAGAGAGTGAGATATGATTCAGGTGAGTGTTGCAGTGACTCTGCATACACGCTGAACTCCGACAGTAAAAACAATACTTATATGCAGCATTATACAGTCCCTTCAGGGGTCTGTGTAATGTGGAGTCTCTGGAAATAGCCCATCAAATCTAGTCTATCACACCTTTGCCACTTGTTAAATGGCGCTTGTGTTGATAATACACATCTCCATCAGATACTATTTGTTTAAGTACACCGTTGTACCTCCGAGAGGACATTACCGTAAGTCATCTGAGTCATTTTGCAGCCATAATATCCTGCAGGAGTAGTGTGTACACGATGTGCCCACATCATGGAAGAAAGAGTAAACAATTGCCATTAAATCCAAAAGAAGATAATGGATGGAGGGTGAATGTGTGTGTGTCTGAAGTGGTGAAGACCAAAGGCGGAGGGTTTTTATACAAAACTAGGGTTACTCTCTTCAACTCAACATAATATTGTCAATGCAAAAGGTGCTGAGGATTAGATAGCCACGGCTTTTTCTTCTCTCTGTGCCTCCCCTCCTCTCTCTGCCGATACCAGGAGGCATATAAAACAGATTTGCTGGCCCTCCTTTCTTTTGAACACCTGTCTTTATTGCTTCTATATCTCAGGTGGAGAGACAGCAGGATATGAGGTGGGAATAGAGAGGCGGAACGAAAAGAACGAAAAGGCATTAGATGGAGAAGAAAGGAGGAAAGAGAGATAGAGCGAATGAGAAGTAAACGACTTCGAATGGAGAAGAGCGATATAGAGAGGAGGAGGGATATTATAAGGCCATTGAGAAGTAGCAGGGGGAGAGGAGGGATGAGAGGTGAATTATAAAACAAGGGAGGGAATGGGGTGAAGACGAGGACGACGGAGCGAGGAGGTGAAAGGGACACCGACGACACAATTCAAACACGATGTTAAAGGAGGGAGCGAGAAATAGCAAGAGGGGGAATGACTGCAACATCCGACGGAGACTGAGAGGTGGGAGAGATGAGTAAGGGGGTGAGGACAAAGCAGAGAGTCATGAGTGGGAACAGAGGGGAGAGAAAACGAACAAATCGGGGAGGCAGGTTGGAGGAATAAAAACAGCTGAAAGGTAGTTTCAGGACATGGCTGGCATTGTTCTATGTTTTTCTGAAAAGACCAAAACCAAAACTAACGATGCGCTAGCCCGTCTCTCAGTGCGTTCTGACTTCCCTACCGTGTCTACGGCTCTCAAGTGCAGCCCACTGGATTCTATGGAGACAGACATCTTTTAAATCAGGGAGCAAATACAGAGTTTCATTTTTAAATTAAGGTTGTGTACTTTGCCGCGGATCAATGTACATTTGGTGCACGAGAGTATTTTGGGCGGTGGTATCTACAATCTGTGTTCATGGTAATGAAGGAACATGTCTCCCAGTGCAGTGTTGTGGCTCATTTACGTGTGTTCAATTAGGTTTGGACGACAATGGGAGGTACAGATGAACAACATATATCATGCTTTGGCTGCACCGGTTTGTTTGTAGGATCAATGTGCTTTGGTGTGAGATGCTGGTGCTCTATTGGTTCTGAATGTCGTGTGTAGAACCTTTTGAAAGGGTAGTGGATCCTGGACCTAACAGGTGCCCTAGTGCAGATAGACTGAGCTAGTATGTGGTTTGTTGCTCTCCTGCTCAGGTGTGCATGCAAACACACACATGGATTATGAGCAGATTACTGTGTGAGGCCACAGACCGAGTAAACACAAACAGACGAGTGTGTAATGAATGTGCATGTGAAGTCAGGAAAAGGGGTTCGACATTTCTACAGACACAGTGGTGTGAGGGTGTTTGGCATTACTTGATATTACAAATATGATATGATAATATATATGAACTACAAATACGCTTGTTCATGAGAAACACTTTATGATTATGAGGTAACATCGTGTGTCTCTGAGGGCCGGGATGCAGAGCACGCAAACCAGGCAGTAATAAGCACCTCACGCAGACGGGACAAAATGTCACAAAAGTAATGACTTTGTGTAAAATGTTACCTTTTTGATGAACACAAGAAGTCAGCTTGTGTGTACATTTTGCACTTTGAAAAACATTTTTGGCAAATAACGCAAGTCTGAAAGCTGAAAGATGCTTATAGACAAAAATTTGACAATCCCAAAAACAACTCGGAGATCCCTGGTTTGTTAGTGAGCAGAACAACTCGCCTGCTACGACTGTAGCTGCCTGTATTATTCTGTCTGTAGCTGTGTGTGCAAGTGTGTGTGTGTGTGTGAGATGTCAGATATTAGTAGACTCTCAGCATTCAGAACTGTGACAGGAGTACAGCGCAGAGCAAAAACTATGACAGCTGAGCTTGCGTGGGACATACTGTACACACCTTTTTTCCCTCACACACACACACACACACACACACACACACACACACACACACACACACACACACACACAC